ACACGATTACTTTAGGCTTCAAGGCATCCAACAACGAAGTAGAGTACAAAGCCCTATTACCAGGCTTTCGAATGGAAAAAGACTTGGCGGTGAAAAAGCTTACAATTTATTCCGATTCCCAGCTAATCACCATCCAGACTACTAGGGAGTATATGGAAAGACATCCAAGGATAGCGCAATACATAGAAAAAGTACGCAAGCAACTTTAGGCATTTCAGACTTACACCCTCACTCAAGTTCTGCGGGCAGACAACGCCCACACGGACGCACCAGCTGGCCTAGGCTTCGCCTTTGACCACCAACTCAAACACTTTATCCTGGTGGAATATCTAGACAAGCCAAGCATAGAGGTGGAGCCGGCGGCCGAAGTGTCACAGGTTAGTATAACTCCAAACTGGCAAATTCTATTATAGACTACCTGGTCAATGACACATTCCCCACAGAATTGTTGGAGTCTAGAAAGCTCTAAATAAAGGCAGCACACTACTACATGTGGAACGACATCCTACACTGAACCACATCATCGTTGCCTAGTGCCTCCTGACGACCTAAAGGTTCTAAGCTCAATCCATGAAGGCGTTTATGGAAATCATTCCGGAGGCCAATCCTTAGCGCAGAGGGCTCTTAACGCAGGCTACTACTAGCCTACCCCGCGACATCATTATCCAATGAGAAGACAAGGAAAATTAAATTTTTCTTACCTCGGTGCGGCACAGAGAAGATGAAGAAAGGAACAAAAGACGGTCCTTTGCATGGGCAAGTGTAGACGATTGCTTGGGGAGGGGGAACAAGTATCCTCTAACTCTCTGTCTCTTGTAGGGTAGAATAAATTGCTCTTTAAAGTTGATTTAATCATCTACTTAAGGTAGACTTAAATTAACTTTAGAAGTGATTTATTTCCTTTTCTTAGAAGGATCTAATTTCCAATTAAAGAGGGAATCTACATCAAAATAGGAAACAATCCTACGTTTCCTAAAGCAAGAAGATCTCTACACCTGCTGTCATTTCCTACGAGCAGCCCAACATGTGTGGGGGCATTTATGTGGCAAAAAATAATCAAGAAAAATGTGGAGGCAACATTTGGATTTTTGGGTGAAAAAGACAAGATTGCCCTCGAGTAGACCTGACATTCTTATCGTGTTTTCTGCATTCGTGTCATTTTCGTGTTATACCGGATATCTTAACGGGTCCTATCGTGTAACACCCATTAAAATAAACGGGTAAAATGACCCGACCTGAAATTGACTCGATAATATTAACATGTAATATGGCCCGACTCGTTACCCGTTAAGGAAAATATATTTTAAACCAATAAATAATCAAATGAAAAATATAATACTAAATAAATATATACATATCATATTGTCACATCCAAAACATGAAAACGTATTTCTCTTTTAAGTATATTTTCACTTACCTAAATTGATCAAATGGTAAAATTGGAAAATATTGGAATAGAGAAGGGTCTTTTTTGTCCAAAAAAGTTATAATAATACAAGTGAAATAGAATCCAACGGTACAGATTTACTCTTATTTATCTTACGGCTATTATTTAAGTAAAGTCTTTAATAGTTTTTTAATTAATGCAGAAGTGTAAAAAATATAGAAAAAATATATAAACACTCATAATGACAAGCTTTACAACTTTCATGATGAGCTTAACTTCGAAATTCGCCACTATAATCATATAAATCATAGATCAAAATTTTAACCGTTGATTGTTGTTTACATTTACGCTTCATTGTTCTCATCAAATTTTTGTTTTTTAGATTTTCTTGTTTGAAAATATGATCTATTAGAGGATGCAAGAAGATGAATGGTTTGGATCGTTAATATTATATTTAGAGTTTTACGGTTAGTGAAAATATTGCTTGATGTTTATAAAGTTTCTACAAACTATATGACATCGACTCATATTTCAGTTAACCGTAAATATCAAAACGTGATATCAAAGATCTGAACCGTTCATAATTCTTACATCCGCTAGATGATCATGTTTTCAAAAAAGAAAATTAAAAAAATGAAATTCAGTAAGAAGAATAAAGCGTAAATGACAGTCGATAGTTAAATATAAATTTAAGGTTTATGAATTATAGTGTTGGATTTCGAAGCTAACCCCTTCATGAAAGTTGTAAAGCTTGTCACTATGAATGATTATATAATTTTCTTTTTACATTTTTTACACTTCTACAATAATTATTATTAATTTTATTAATTTTGCCCTCAAATAAAAAACATTAATCATGAGGGTTTGGAGGATTTTAAAAATCTAAACGATAATGTAAGTGTAACCAATATCTACTTGTGGAGGAATAATGATGAATCACGAGTGTTTATATATTCTTTCATATTTTTCATACTTGTATGTATGTCTTCTTAGTTCTTGCCTATACAAATACTATACTAGTTTATTTTAATTTTAGACAACAAGTTAAGTAAAACTTATCCTAGTAATGATAATAAGGAACTCTCATAATAAAAATAAATAATGACAAAAACTTTTTTTAAAATTTTTTTTTTTAAAACTTATATAGAATAATAATACAAAACTTTAACTTATATTGTATATATTAATATGGCTATTGTATTTTATAATATATCTTTTAGTAATTAAACTTTAAAATGATCAAAATAACTTTTTTCTTAATGGGTCGAAATGGGTTACCCACGTGTTACCTGCGTGTATACCGGTTAAGAACCCGTTATTAATGGGTAACTCGATAATGACCCGATTAGTTATCATGTTGACCCGAAACTCGTTATTTTCGTGTCATGTCAGAAACTGCTGGGTCTACCCTTGAGGTACATCGGAACCCCTACGCGCGAGCAACGGACAATCATCACTCAATCAAGGTCAAAAGTGATCAAAATATGTGTTTATTCAAAACATATTTCATCCATCCTCATCAAATCCTCCCCAAAAGGTAACCTCTAAATATTCATTCAAAATAGATTAATTACCTAAGTTAATTAATTGATTTTCTAATTAATTAATTAATTAATTTTCTAATTAATTTCCTAATTGATTGCAAGATATTATGGTGACATAATATCTTGCAATTACACCAAAACAACCAAATGTGGCCGGTTCCCACCTCTCCAAAGGGGCCGATCACACCCCCATAATTACCACTTCGTTTCTCCAAAAACCTTAGCTGAATCCTTTTATAAAATTCTCTAAAGGCCCCCCCCCCCAACAAATTCATCGTGGGCGCATGAGTCCCTTAGCCTTGACCTAAGGTGTTAATTGTTTTTGTATGTAGATTTTCGTCCAAGAATACGAAGGAAGAAATTTGCATCCACAATTTATACTGCAATTATTGTGGATTTAGTCCATAGGTAAATGGTTACATGTTTATTTTACTGTATATATATATATATATATATATATATATATATATATATCTCAATAAATAGTGAGAGAGAGACTCAAAACGGTAAAACATATATCTACATAAATAGTGAGAGAGAAACTCAAAAGAGTAAAACATAAAAAACTGCAAGTAACTTACGATACAGATCGTTTTATTGATGTAAATTCATGTTCCAAAGGGTTTGTTGTGCGATGAATAATAATGATTAGGAATGCAATTATATAGTTTGCTGTGAGATGAATAATAATAATTAGGATAATGCAATTATATAGATTGTTGTGAGAGGAATAATAATAAATAGGATAATGCAATCATATAATTTGTTGTGCGGAGAGTAATAATAATAATTAGGATAATGCAATTATATAGATTGTGGTGAGAGGAATAATAATAAATAGGATAATGCAATCATATAATTTGTTGTGCGGAGAGTAGTAATAATAATTAGGATAATGCAATTGTATAGTTTGTTGTGCGAGTCACATTAACACCTTACACAATAAAAGAAGCCAATTACAGGTACGGCTAGCATTCTATAATAATAATGTATCTTCAGAATAATTCAATATAATTTAGGGATGATGAGGAACAATGAGATGTTCGTAATCTACCTACAGCTTCTCTAAATCTTTACGAATATGCTTCTTGAAATTCTTTTCAAGATTATCCAATTGGCTTTAAAATAATGTGGCAATGTTTCTAAATTTAAATTTGTAATTTAAGTACGGAAGAAAATCACTTCTAACATGTTTGTTTAGTTTTGTGTCTTATTTCTTTATAAATAAAATACACGAGACGCCTTATTTGGCACTAGGAATGAATATCTGCCATATAATACTCTCTCATGGATGGTGTTTGGAATAGACTCACTCAATGTGGTGGTTTATGTTAACCACAAGCTGGTGGTTCAGTGGTAAAGAGCAGATTGCGAGACTTCCTTCAAACTAAAAATTAAGGCCATATTTGTGGTTAGGAGGCGGCTAAAATGCCTTTGTGAGTCTTCTCGGCTTCCGAAAATGGTAGATAATCGTGGTTTGTCACCAGTTGTCCCCCTTTAAAAAAATGTGATGGTTTATGTTTAAATTTTTTATTATGGTACGTGGGTCTCTTTTTCTTAGTTGAGCTTTTTTTTTTTTTCATGCGGTTTTACACGGTTGAAGTTTTTCACGATACTCGCTTTCTCTATTTACATGATCCGTTTATTCGTACATTTATCTTCTAATGGTTAGAGTTATAAAATACAATAAAATAAATAATTTTGGAGCTTCCAATCAGTAAGAGTTGTGGTCCTGAAACTATTTTGGCACTATACAAGTGTTTGCTCTTCTTATCATTTTGCAATAGAAGTGGAGGACATGTAACAGGTTAGGCTATTGGGGCCTTGATATAAAACAAATTAGGATTCCATTTGGATGAAATTTAAAATGGCAAGTTTTGACTTGAGTTAGGATTTAGGGATCATAACTTACATATATGCTTGAATGTTAAGAAAATGACTATTTCTTCTTGAAAATTAGAAATATTTCTCTTTTCACAAATAACCAGATCATAAGAAAATAATGAATAGTAATTAAATCCAATCATACAATTTTCACTAAAAATGAATACTTTATTGTTGTTTTGATTAAGTGAAATACATCAATAATACAATTTACACAATACAAAATTCACACACTTGCTAAAAATATGTACAACAAAGATATTATGTCCATTGGAATTTCTAAAATAAGATTGTCACAATTCATGGATATAGAATTGATCTTTTATAATGCCAATCTTGAGCGAGAGACCGTAAGGTGTGATTAGGGATTACAATGTTGTGCTCAAGCTTCAAATTTGTCATCGGTGATGTATCGTGTCCCAGTCGCAACCATTCTTCAATGGCTTCTTTCTCATACGAAAATCCATCAGCCGCTATATGTGGATCCTTCATTACTTCCTGCATCCAAAATAACACATATTTGTATCATTCTTTACTCTTGTGAACACCAACGAAAGTGTCTCTACATATCGAAGTTGCAAACTCTTGTAAAATAAAGTAGGTTTGGCAGACTTGAACATATCAAAGTTTACTAAAACAATATACTCCTCTTTTGCGAATCTCTCTCTTCGGAACTAAGATTAGTCTAGATCGAATATTGCTCGAGTAAGAAAAAATGTATGTTCATACATTGAGCGGGCCAAGACACCCAAATACTAAAATTTTAGCATGCTCATACAAGTGGGTCAAGTCCTTCTGAATGCCAAATTAATAGAGGGTTGCAACTTGTAAAGAGAGAACGCTAAAAGTTTAAATACATTATAAGTTTAAGTTTCTGAAAAGTTGTCTCTACTTAGCTAAATTTAGCCAGTAATTGTTCATTAAGTTAATTTTATTTGTGGAATAGCTAGTTTGTTAAAGATTGATTTTGAAAAATTTTCAGTTAAAATAGTTAAGCAATCTAGAATAACTAGGCTTTTGGAGATACTCTTAACTTTATCACAAGTTTAAGCCTTCTAACTTTATCACAAGTTTAAGCCTTCTTTTTCACTGAGTCTGAACTCAAAATTCGGATTCACATAACAAATTACAATTTCGAGGTGGTTAGTTTAATAACAGTTGGACCCATTAATGTGGTATATACTAGTATTAATATTCTGCTTGTTTTGTTCTTAAGTGTATAAATCATAGAACTTTGCTTTCCTAAGTATCAAAAGACAATAAAAAAATAACCGGTCACTCATGAAAAATGATGAGCCGGAGAGAATCATGCATAAGATCTTTGGTTCAAAAGGGTTAAAAATAAAGTTTTATTGCGAAGTGTCACCCATTAAACGAACTGTTCAAAAGCAGTTTGGTTTTGGGTCGAGCATTCTCCACCCTAGCTTAAGAGTTATAGTTTAAGACCTAGTTTGGTACTGAGGTTATTTTGAAAAGGTAGCTATCAAAAAAGCTAGAAGCTTTTTAAATGTTTGGTAAACATTTAGCTTCAGTTTTTTTTCATAGTTTTGGGTGAAAAAAAAAAAAGCCAAAAACACAAAGTTGAAAAACTCAGCTTTGAAAAACCAGTTTTTTTTTTTTTTTACATCTGTTTTACATAAAAGTTTATCAAACACTATAATACAGATTTTATTTTTCAAAAGCACTTTTACAAAAAAGTTTATCAAACACTATAATACAGATTTTATTTTTCAAAAGCACTTTTACAAAAAAGGTTTACCAAACACTCTGCTGCTTTATTTCACAGCTGCTTATTCTCACAGCACAGTAGAAACAGTTTGTTTTCAAAACACAACAATACCAAACCAACCCTAAAAAACCCGTTAAAAATGCAGTTTATGATCAATACGACATGAACACAAAAAGAGATCGACATTTTTTTTTTCTGTCTACCAAAAAATAGTGAGATATTAAACATCAAACCTGAAATATGGGGCATAAGAAAACCCTCGGGACTTCATTGGTGAGCTCTCCATGCACAATTCCCTCAATATTCAAGCCAGAACTTACTATTAAAACATCAGCCTTTTTTCTGATTTCACAAAGTTCCTCCATTATTGTCACCATTCTTAAATCCGTATTGGGTCCGTTGTTAACGGATAAACACCTTAACACCAAGCTTACAAGTTCTTCTGCCAAATCCAATGGCCATGCTCCAGCCTTCTCATCTAAAACTCGAACTAATCCTGCCTTTTCCATGAGCATTGCCTCATCAACCCAGTTCTTCCCAGTTATAAGATTGAGAGTCAAAATCCCAAAGGCCTGTATGTCCCATCCGACATGACTTTCGTCGTAGGACTGGTTGAGCCCTAAACCACTGACCTTGGCCACGAGATTCTGGTCAAGGAGGACGTTGGATGGGCTGAGGTGGCCATGAATAATGGGTTTGGGCTGAGCCATGTGGAGGTAGCATAAGGCAGAGCAAACCTCTGCCGCAATGCGGATGCGGTCCTGCCACTGAAGGTCCCGGGCCGGGTTCATTTTTTCATGGGAGGAAAATAAGACGTCTTGCAAGCTACCATTGTGCATGTCTTCAAAGACAGTGCAGTTTGGCTGGAAGCAGTGGCCCATCATGGCAAGCAGGTGTGGGTGTCTGATGTTGCTGATTAGCTTCACCTATACATATGCATAGTTTTTTGTTAGATTGAAGAAATGATCTCTTGCTAGACGATATATCTGACAATATAAGATGTTTGTGTTGTAGAACTGTGAATTTGTATCATCGATCATGATTTTTTGTCAGGTGTGTGGTTTAGATGCACTATTTGACAACGTAAACACTTGTCTGATGAAATTATATGCCCACCCATAAAGCATCACTGTAGTATTTATTGTAACAAATAAGTTCACATCCCATGCACATTCGTTTAGCATTTCTTATAGCTGTTACCTTAGCCTGAAAATCTTCTTGGGACAGTCCATTAGCCGGGTTAAGAACTTTGATACCAACTGTGACATGATTGATACGCCCTTTATAGACACTGCTCAAATCACTTCCTGACTTCAATCTAAAACGTTCTGAAAATTCGTTGGTGGCCTGTTTGATCTCCTCATCTGTGTACTCTCTGAGACAGCAGCTCAATTCACCCAACCCTTCTGCCGTTCCTGTGGCATCCTGTTGTCTGCAAAATTCAATCCTTCGTCGAAACACATCTCTTTCTCGTCGGATTACTTCAATTTCTCTCTCCATGTCTGTACATTTCATCACTTCATTCTCTAGCTGGACCTCCGCTTGTGATTTTGCCATTTTGGACATATGGAGCTTGTGTGAAAGCTCATATTGAAGCTCTATGAGTGACTTCATCTTGTTCCTGCTTTCTTCAATTTCGTTAACTACTACATGGAGTTGTTCTTTTTCCGTGTCTAATTCTTTGTTCAACTCTCTTCTATTGTCACCCTCTTCTTTAATTTGAACGTCTAACTCCTGAGCCTATAAAAACACTTCTCTTTTAAACCAGATAAAATGGAAACAAAAGAATAAATCAACAACTTAAGAGTATTTTGAGTGCTAATTTTTTTTTTTCTAACAGTCTGCCATATTCTGTCATCATATTTTCAATAATCACTCGATTAAATGAAATTATGTCTGCGACCATATATATCCCCTAACAACGTGACATATCGAAATATCTGAAAAATAATTCAGGTTTATATAATATTACCCGGCGCTCGCATAAACAAATGGCCCGTTCGGCTTTTGCATGCCTGTCAGCATTTTCCTTGGCTTCTTTCTTCTTCATTCTTATCATCCCACGAGTTACGCTTATTGTTTTCCTAAGAAACTCAATTTTTTCTGCAGAGCTCTGACAATATGCCAAATTTTCTTATGCATTAGTTAATGAAGCATCCAAGTCTTTTTCTTTTTGCTCTATATATTAATACTGAAACTCATGATATAATTTGTATATGCTACTAACTTACCATATTAGGGTTCCCATTAATTTGCAGCATTATAGCCTCTGTTGGACTAGGCTGCTGCGAAGTACCTGTACCATTTCCCTGGTCACAATTTTCTACATCCAAGTTTGAACACAACTGCTGGTAGTAAATTTCCATTTCTTGAACACAATTTTCCCACAAATTTTGCAAATTGGCGGAATCCTTTTTTGTTGGTGAACCAAACAGGCTGTGACGATTTTCAAGGAACATCTTTTCTAACATAAATTTGAAGCTGACCTTGTCTTTCTTTTTTGCAACCATCACTCCTTTCCCATCCTCCTGGATTCTTTGATCATTTTCTCCTCTTAGAAATAACTCTTTCCCCCCATAAATTATGAACAATTCGCAGGACTCAGTCTTGTGCTCGTGGATGTAAAATAACATGCTGATTGCAGTCTTCATTCTCCTATTCGGGAAATAAGTAAAATGAATTGGATTTACAATCACAAAGTTGCATTTATATACATACTAGGACTAAATTAAGCTGTTGCATACCATGATGATGATTTGATGAATGTAAATCCAATGACCAATTTCGTTATGTGAAGTCCCGAAATCAAGTCTAGGATGAGCTTATGAATAGATTCATCATTTTGCTCCACTTTAAGTATTTCAGCTTTCACCTAATAGCAAAATGAAAGTTAATAAAAATACAAAAACCAGAAACACCATGCACAAAGATCCATACTCCATACTCCATAGAAATTGGTACAGACCTTGCCGCAGAACGCTATATACTTGGAAAGGATATTGTCCATCTTTTTCTGTTCATACCTCTTAAGAACTTTCAATTTCTCATCACTTACAGAACTTGCAGGGAGCTTGCCAACTGCAACAAATAAATTAAAAAACAGTAAAATCCAATCTGAAATTCAATTAAAATACATGGAGATTGAAATCTAATATTTGTGGTTAACTTACATGGTGTGTAAACATAATCCTTCCCTGAAATGCTGTAGGTTACATGGAGAATGACTATGGAAATAGGCTGAGATTTCCACCTCCTCAGTGTCCACGCCAAGGTATTAAATCCATCTTGCAGCTCATTTCCAAGTGCAACATACACTTTCTCTACCTGGGCTTCCATGACTGCTTGGCTAATTCAATTCACTTTCTTCAAAGCTAAAATCCTAAATCAACAGAATTCTACCTGAAATATGTCCAAATTTTATGGTAAGAGAATTTCAAAGGATATGGACATATAGAAAAATTACAAGAATATTCAGTATTCTGTTTGCCATATATTGTAAGCATATACGATGTTTAATATTATGTTTCTCTGTCAATTGTTGTAGGACGGCCTATTCTTGGAATATTCTGTCCGGCTTAGCAAGCGTGGCAAGGTTTAATTTGTTATACTTTTCAACGTTAGGAGTTTAAGGTTTGGAATTTTCTTGGTGTCTTTCCTGGGAATGTACGTTCATTGATAGGTAGGGACTGGACATCTATATTTAGGATTTGACTGAGATTTATGTGACCCTCTTACGGATTAAAATGAGGTTTTGGTCATAATTCGATTTATAATTCTTAGCCGGGCCAGTTGATGTCTCGTTGGGATTCTTGTCTAGGAAGCATTTTTACTCATAAGTGTTTGAATTAAAAATGCTTTTGATTGTAAAAAATTTCTTTAGTCTTTTCAAAAACAATCTCATGCAAACGCTATAGAATTATGAGGTTGTTTGATAATCATTTTGTTTTTAGTTTTTAGTTTCAATTTTTTGAAAATTGAAAACTTGTTTAATAACTATTTTATTTTCTAATTTTTAAGAGGTTTTTTAGCCAAAATAGTCTCTTAGATTGACATAACTTTTCACTTTGGTCATCAAATTCGAAAACGATAAAAGTGGTCCCTGAGTTTGCGCACCATCAATCCTTTTGGTCATACTGTGAAAAATCTCTATCAAATAAGAATAAAATGACAAAAGTACCCTCAATTTTTGTTAAATAATTTTGGCCTATTGTTATTAAATTGAAGGTATTTTTGTTATTTTGATACTTATTTAACAAAAATTTTCATGGAAGAACCAAAATGATTGATAGTGGACAAACTCAGGGACCACTTATATCGACTTCAAATCTTAAGAACTAAGTGAGAAATTATGTCAATCTCAAGAATCATTTTGGCTAAAAAGCCTTTTTAAATATAATGAATTAGATTAGTTTCCGTGACAATTGAAGTAGAGCTGGAAAGATTGTATATGACGTATTAACATGATACGAATTTACACAAAATTAGATTTTGCGTTGGGGCCTCTGGGGTAGATTTGATAAGTATTGTCCCCTTGTCATCTATTAAAATAATTAATTAAGATGGTAAACAATATTTTCTCAAACTTAGGACCTCGAGTGCATTGGTAAAAGTTTTTCATAAACTAAGTATTTGAAAACTTAAAAAGTTATAGCAAAAAAGAACGGAAAACATAATAGTTAACAAACGTACCTTAACAAGCTTATTAGGTTTCGTATTATTATTCCTCGGATAATACTTGCATCCCATTCCTTGAGAAGTGTACGTATCAGTTATCACATCCCTAGCGGAATGTAGTTATTTACCACATAAATTTTATAATCAAATTTTTTTTTATCTTCTAAAGATCATTTCTTAAAAAAAAAAAAAAAATCATTTGAATTGGAGACTGTTTAGTGATCCAAAACTATAAAATAAATGGACAGTTCATCATAAATATGTTAATAAGAGGTCTTAGATTCGAATCTCGTAAATGACGAATTTAATACTAAATTAGGTTGCCCATTGTGTGGCTTAACCGACTCTCCCTTTCCTTAGTGTAAAATATATCGTTGTACTAAAAGAATATAAAAAAAATCTCGAGTTTCATGCGCTTTTGAGAAAATGGAGGTGATAGTGAAGCAATGTGAGGATGAAATTGAAGAGAGTTGCCTTTTTATAGGGCAATAGAAAGCTTCTTGTTTTACATCCTTTTGTAGATTAAGTGAGGGCCAAAGTGAAACTTGAACTATAGTACAACAATCATACACCAAATTATTCGATTGTATCAGAAAGTCAGATGTCACGATTGAAATATAGTTCAAGTGAACATGGTACTAACCCAAAAAAATCCAAAGTGGTGAATGTGAAACCCTAACTTCAAAGAAATCTAATTATAACCTGGTCTTAGATCATGTGTAAAGTGGGCACCGTTTTAATCACTGTAAGAAAATGTGTTAGAAGCTTTAAGAAAAACTTGAGTACACATATTGCACACTAAACAAAATTTGTATTAGACACCAACCCAATCAACGTGGAAGTTGAATATCATATTTTAGAAGTACTCCACCAAATGGACACCTTATTAATATAGAAAATTTTATATTATACTAAATATAAGATGGTACATCACATGTTATAATTTAAGCGAACGACAATTTGATGAGTTTTACTCAGTAAAATTGGTGAAGAAGGAACTACTAGGGGTTTCTAAATATAATGGTTCTCACCACTTACGGTGAAAGTAGGTGCATGCCACGCGACTATCGCCGAAGAGTTAGGGCTAGTTTGATATTGCTATGCTTTGAAAAAAAACTGTTTTTGTTGTACTGTGAGAATAAGCAGCTGTGAAATAAAGTAGCTGAGTGTTTGGTAAACTTTTTTGTAAAAGTGCTTTTGGAAAAAAAAAAAGTAGTATTATAGTGTTTGGTAAATTTTTATGTAAAACAGCTGTAACTGTGTGAAATGACCAAAAAATGTATAATACTAGATATGCCATTAATTTAATTTTCTTAACAAATAAATGTGAATTACTAAATATACTTTATTTTTAAAAGAAAAATATTTATAAACTTTATCTTAAACATATAATCCAACGTTTAACAAGAAATCATAATCCAACATTCAACGTATAATCCAACATTTATAATATCTATTTATTATACAACTATTACTCTTTATCGTAAGCATCTCCAACACTAATGGTTATTTTATAAAAAAATTAAACTAGTTTATTATTTAAAATCCCCATCTTTTTATGTTTTATTATCATAATTAAAATCAGTCCACATTTTTTCTAGAAGCATCTCTAAAACCCTCTTTCTCTCACATTGCTTTCTTTTCTTTCCCGTTCTCATCCTTTCTACCGCTCCAACCCATTTCACATTTTCTTTCTTAATCTTCCTGTCTCCATGCGATATCTTTCTTTCTCAATTGAAATCCTAGAAAAAATTTCCTTTGTGCTGGATGGTTCATTGGCAGGTTAGATCGCAGGTTCAAAAACCAGGTCGATAATGGAGGAGGGGATGGGATAGCTTTGCTTGGTCCAAAAGCTCAAGGTCCGCCGCTCCAAGGTTTTGAAGTACGGCTTCACGATCTTGAACGACCTCAAAAAAATATCTAGTCTCGGCATGGAAGGTGAGTGTTCAAGCTTCGGATTGTTGGTAATTCCATCTAGGATTTTGTTAGTTCAATTGGGTTGTGGGGATATTACCATCGGAGGTAGTTTGGATATCACCATTGAGAGAGGCATCTGGCGCCGCCGTGGACAGAGAAGGTTGGTGCAATCTTGTCCGCTGCATCACTGCCTCGACTCTGACGGATTCCGAAACAGCTCATCGAAAAAAGTGGAAGATGATAAAAGCATCTTGTGTGATTGTAAATTATTTAATTGCTTACGGTCATTTTGGGTACATGAAAGTTTCATTAAGCGCTTAGTGCCTCTTAGAAAAGAGGATTGCACAGAAGCTGAAAAGCTGGTTTTTCAAAGTTGCTTTTTGTGCTTCTGTTTTTTGGGTTTTTTTTTTTTTTTTTTCACTCAAAATTATGAAAAAAAAAACTGAAGTTGAAAGTTTACCAAATACAAAAAAGCTCCCAGCTTTTTTTGATACTCACTTTTTTAAAATCACCTTAATACCAAACCAAGACTTAATTTCACTTAATATTTTTCCACTTAAAAAAAAAATAATATCTTTCCGCTTAAATTCAAACAAGTGGTGTGGGTGTGCCACACACATTAAGAAATATATGTTTTTAAACTTAAAAGCACATGAATAAAGCAATGGGAGGACAATATAAAAGTAAAATGTGATTTTGTCAGTAAGATTGAAAAATATTGTTTTAACATTGAAGGCATGATTAGGTTAAGTTAATAGAAGCTTGTCGGGTTTGGGGCAGAGGGAGTGCACGTGCATCACGGAAATCATCGAGATGTATTTCGAGCGCAAAGATCCCGCGCACGTGTTTTTCCCGGTCAAAGGATCTTCACAAGAGGATCCTTACATTTTATATGTTCATTTTACATCCGTATGAATTTTTGTTATTTAAAATTAAATATAAATAGTATTTAAAAAAAATTGATCGTACAATATATGATAAACAGACAGGATGTGAGGATCTTAAACCCTTAGGATCTTCACAAAGAAAATCTACAGAGGATCTTCACAAAGAGGATTCGGAGATGATCCTCATCTCTGTAAATATTTGGCTAAAAAAATGGATTTTTAAATCTTTAACAAAGGAAGGGACGGGAAGAATAAATGTTTTATGGTACATGGAATAAGGATGGTGTACCATATGTCATTATGTAACTAGAATGTTCTTTTCAAATTGTTATTGCACTACAATAGATTTGGTCTTTTGCGGCGCATAACGAGCGCCGTAAACGGTTATTCACGACGTAAGTCCCCAAGCAGTAAAAACCCCTATTGTAAAAGATATTTTTTCAAATACGACGTTCTCAAGTAGCAGTGAATAATTTAAGCAAAACACGTCGTAAATGCTCTTTAAAGCGTGCCTTGCGCACCTTAATTGGTATTAGATACGACGTTGATGAAGTGTTGTAATACTGCGAAAACAATTACGGCATACATACGTGCCATAATTTATATTTGATACGGCGTTTGTTGAGTATCGTAATACTGCGAAAACTATTACGGCATACCTGTGTGCCGTAATTTATATTTGATACGATGTTTGTTGAGTGTCGTAATACTATGAAAGCAATTACGGCATACATCGTACATCGTAACGAAGACTAGCATCAACAGTTACTGCTAATTTTGCATATAGTAATTTACATTTATTTTAATTTTTAATATATATAAGAATCAACAAAATTACACATTTGCTATAATACAATAATTTCATAAATAATCATATTGTCAAAATGTATTACAAGTTGATCAAAGCTAAGGTCAATATCAAACTACACATGAAATACCAAATAGGTCTCTAATAACAAATAAATTTGTCACTTGAAATACTTCACTTT